ATATATTTACTTGATGTATTTCTATACGTATCCTAGTATGAAGCAGTTATTACAGATCTCACTTGTCAAGGTTGTTTGCTGACAACCTGGTGTAATGCATGGGTGCTTGCTAGAGGCAAGTTCACTGGATAGACCCACCAGAAGATTCCATATGGATGGTAACCCCAATGTCTATGGAATAAATCCTCTAACGAATGGTGGTGCATGTGATCCTTAGACTTGAGATCACCAGAGTGCTTTTTGCACCAAATGGTATAGTTTGACACTAGCCCAACATAGTTCTAGTAAAAGCTATCAATATGGTAGTGATTGGCTACATTAAGAAGTGTATCGAGACTATGGTGGATATACAAAGGATTAATCACTCTGGGGTACATGAGAAGTTATCTCATGGCCCAATTCAGAGAATGGCAATGGCACTAAAATTGTGACCATAGTGGGATTGAGTTGTTGCTCAATCCAATTTATAATTACAGTCATTGGTCCAATAACTGAATACAAACATATCAAGAATATCTGAGGTTGACACTATTTATATACCTTAGCCTCAATGAGATAACGAATGATGAAGGGATTTGATTGCACGGTAACCATACCATTGATAGGCTGTAGTTTTGCTGAATCTGAATCTATCGGGTGGCCATGATGCCTTACTAGGGGCCAATCTTGGTCTGTGTGTAGTGAGACGATTAATTGGTGTTAATTGTGATACTACTCACTACTGATATGATAAGCACACACTTACAAGATAATTTAAGAATCAATTTGTGATAAGGGTATTTTCGTCTTACAGGACGAAATGGTATTTTGGTAATCTCGTAGTGCAATTAAATTTTCTGAGGTTGTTGCACGTATTTAATTTGATATTAAAATTAAATTAGTGAGATTATATTTAAATATATGTATGCATATATTTAAATGGATTGTTATTATTAATTAAATGTTAATATATTTTTTAAGTATATTAATTGATTTTAATTGTAATAATAATTAATTAATTTAAAATACAATTACATGGTGTTTAGTTGTAAGGGTAAGCTTGGGTTAGTGCCCATGGGTATTCCTTACTAGAATAGGGTTTTAATTAGTTGCACTATATAAGTAAAACTTAATTAAAACATAAGTAGAACTTTTATAAAATAAAACCCTAGCCACCCTATAGCTCTCTCTCTCTCTCACGTTTTCTTCTTCAAGTGAAGAAGAATTTTTTTCAATTTTCATTATCTTTGATTCTTGAAGCCGACAATTGTTATAGCAAAACAATTGTTGGTTCTTTGGATTATCTTCGTGTGGATTTCCATGAGTGCGATCCTACATTGGATTGATTAGTGAAGAAATCCGGTGAACAGTGTCTATGAACAGTAGCCGGTGAACAGTGTTGATGAACATTACTTGATGAACAGTGCTGTGAACAGTGTTTGTAAGCGATGAACAGTTAAGATGGAGCCTCCAAATGTGGGTATGAACTAAATCCTTGGATGGATTTGTTTTTACACATTTTATTTTACGTTTTAGTTTATGCATGAAAACGTTATAATCTGTACTCGGATCTTGGTTCGTGTAATTGATTGATTCATTTTAATTTTTTTTTCCGTTGTGCAAATCCGGTCAGTTACTTACATCACTGAGGAAGTTTCCTCTATAGTCTTCCCCTTATTCCTATTGCTATGGTCCACGATGTTGTGCTCGTCTTCAAGTACTTGAAACATGAAAAGACAAGTGTAACGAGCTATATAAAGCCAAGATCACTAGCCTAACTACACTTGCCTTCATTCCCAAGCATCAGGGGTGCACCAAAGTGAACACCCAGGGACGAGCCATTACAATGAATCCAAGTTCCAGCATCGAACTCCGATGACCCTACACAACCTTCCTAGTCTAAGACTTACCAAATAAGAACCTCCATTCAACCCATTTCTTCGCAAAAAAAAAAAAAAAAAAAAAAAAAAAAAAAGAAGCAAGGAAGGAGTTAAAAATAACAAAAACTTACTTGAGTAGGTTAAGTGCAGAGAGTCACCAGATTAACCACCGAGAAGTCAAAGACGTCCATGACCAAGATCAAGAGAGAATTTTCCTAGTTGGCAAAGAAATGTTTGCAAAAGTTTTTTAAAGTAGGAACTGATCGTGACTGTTTGTTTGTATAAAATATTTTGACCCTTCATTGTCTTCTACAATCTTATTCATTTGTTTTCATCACATGGTGGCGATCTGTGAAGGAAGTACAACTGCTATTTTAGAAAAGAAACGTTGCATCCTGTTGTTTCAATCAACGTGTGCACACATCTACTACCACATTAAATGCACAACCAACAATGACTTTTCACTTGCAGCCACATTAAATGTGTGATGTGCTTTCTCAAGAATTACATCTTTGCCCACGAAGACCAAAGTCAAAATAAATCCAATAGAGTTTTCTTTCTCAAGTCTTGGCTATCACTTGGCAAAATATGATCTTTACACACCCCAAATCATTTGCTAGGCATCAACAGCTTGACAAGAAGAGGCTTTTCATCAACAGCTCGCACCTTGACAAAATGTCTTTGAGCACACTTAATTTTCAAAGCTCAACACAACCACCAAAAACTAGGGGGCAAACAAATGTTCGTACAAGCTCGAAATTAGTGATAGCTCGGTGATAATTGCTCAAAACTACATTTATACTTAGTGGTTTATTGGTATTATTTGAGGAAAATTAGGTTCAAGTTGTGTGATTTAACTTAATTATTTCATAAATGTATTTTATGGGATCATTGGTATGTTTTGAGCATTTTCAGATCTATAATGCTTAAAAAAAATATTCGAATGAAGAATAATATTGGTGAGAAAATTTTTGACGACTGGAAACAAATGGTTTGAAAATTGGAGTTGAAACGAGGAAGTTATGGCATTTTTAGTTTTATGGTTTTCGAGCGTTTTCCAGTGTCAGTGCATGCCGTGGCACAGAAAAATTGTGCCAAGGCATGATGCTCTTAGGTTTTGGAGAGCATTTAAGTGCAGACATGGGTTTTGGAACGTGCTTTAGTGTTTTTCTGATAACTTGATCTTATACCTCAAATTTGGATGATTCTTGTATCATTGGAAAGCTGATAGAAAGGGCTACAATTCTTATGTTTATGACATTTTCAGATTCATAATTGAACATGCTCAATTTTTGAAAGCTTTGGACAGCTAGTGTGAAAAAATCCTAATATCACTAGGATTCTCTTTTTCTATTTTGCCTAGACTTGTATTTCTTATTCTAATTTGAATAGGATTGTTCTAGTAACACCCCTACAACCCTCACACTATAAATAGAATTCTCTAGCTATTACTTAGCGCAAGTTAGAGAGAGAGAGAGAGAGAGAGAGGATAGAGAGGAGATTAGCCGCTATTTATAAATCAAAACAATAACTCTTGGGGTTCAGGGAAGTTTCCTTTTATCTTTTTCTTGAATTTATGTTTATAATGGTTGTTTAGTTTTATTTGATTATGAAATAAATAAAGTTTCTAGGGCTAAGATGTAGCCCAATTCTATGAATATCTGTTGATGTATAGTTGTTAATTATTGCTAAGCATATCTTTTCTAAGTGTTATTATGGTTCTTAATACTTCAATTCTTTTAAGCCTGAGAGTTGATTGATTTAATGGAATGGGTTGAGTTAGAGAGATGAAATTTAGTTAGTCTAATGTAATAAAACCATAGGTTGAGCGAATGCTAGAGATAGGGTACCGCGATATATGAGGCTTTAGTAAATTCCATAAAGCGTAATGATCTCTTAAGACTTACATCCATTTTAGAGATATCTTTGGTTAGCAATAAAGGGTTAATTCGGTAATTGTTTGAGAGAAAGTTATTGGAATTTTAGGGAGTTTGGCCTATAGAAAAAACTTAATAATATTAGAAATGATTATCAATACAACAGGAGTAGAATATGTGTGAAGTCTATGCCCTAGGTTTAGCCACATTTTCAACCAACCTTTTATTTGATTTGCAATTTTATTTCTTTAGATTTTAGTTTTGTTTTAATTTGTTATTTTTAGTTATTTCATATCTCCAATTTTCGGTTTATCAAATAGTAATAGGATAGTTACTTTGGTACTTGGTATCTAGTAATTCTCTTGGGATTCAACATCCATTTACTCATTCTTTATTACTTGCATGGTTCCATACGCTTATAGAACCCCTGCCAAGCTTTTGGCATTGTTGCCAGGGAATTACTATTTTACTTTACCAATATCAATTATTTAGTTGCTAATTTGAATTTTTTTATTTTTTATTTTTGCTTTACTTAGTTATTTTTAATTAGTTTAGTTTTAATATCAGGTTTATTTTGTTCTTTTATTTTTAGATCAAGAGGTGCAAATCTTGATCCTTTCGATTCTATGATAGAGAGAACAATTAGAAGGTTGAGAAAAGTAAGGAGACAAGAAAGCACACAAGAATCAGGTTCAATGGAGAATCAAGGTTAAATAATCAAGAGAGTGAGAATGAGGAAGTCCGTAATGTAGCTAGTGGAGTTGTTGTTGCTCAAAGAGCATTGAAGGACTATTCTAGTCCAACAATTGAAGGGTGTGCATATACCATCAGGAGACCACCAGTTCAAGCAAACAATTTTGAAATAAAGCCAGCTATCATTCAAATGATACAATAACTAGTGCAATTTGGAGGGTTACCAAGTGATGATCCTAATTTGCATATTGCAAATTTTCAAGAGCTTTCTAACACTTTCAAGCATAATGTGGTATCCAATGATGCAATTAGGCTTAGGATTTTCCCATTTTCTCTTAAGGATAAAGCTAAGGCTTGGTTGATTTCACAATCACCTTGAGGCATTACTACTTGGGATGAGTTAGTTCAAGTGTTCCTTGCGAAGTACTTTCCACATGTCAAGTCCATCAAGATGAGATGTGACATCACAATTTTTTTCCAGCAAGATATGGAGTCACTTTATGAGGCTTGGGGAAGATACAAAGATCTCTTACGGAAGTGTCCTCACCATGGTTTGCCAATTTGGTTACAAGTGCAAATGTTTTACAACGGTTTGTTGTTGAACACACAAGTAATGGTTATGTAGTGAGTATGGGTGCTTTAAATAATAAAACACCAGAGGAAGCTTACAATTTAATTGAAGTGATGGCAAGTAATAATTACACGAAGCCTTTAGCACAAAATTTCCCAAGGAAAGTAGTGGGAGTGCATGAAATAGATGGCTACATGCTTTGGTTGCTCAACTTGTAGCTATTCAAAAGCAATTGGGTGTTGCTGTTAGAGTAGATGCCCTAGAGCCAATCAATTATTATAGAATTGACTCTTTGTAATAATGTTAATTAATCAATAAAAGGCATTTTATTCTATATCGTGTAAATCATTATTATTGCAATATGTATTGATATATGTCCTTAGAATGGTAGAACCGTGACGAGGGTATCAAGTATTTCAAATCTTGATAGTGAGAACCCTATGAGCACAAATGTGGCCATTCTAGAAACGTCCGTAGCCCCAGTATTATTCTGAAGTAAGGGCAGAGATAATACGGTAAGGCTATCATAGTGTTGAACGACCTTGTCGAAAGGCAGTGACTGATCTCACTTGTCAAGGTTGTTTGGTGACAACCTGGTGCAACACATGGGTGCTTGTTGTAGGTGGATTTACTGCAAGAAGTTCACTAGACTGACCCACCAAAGAATTCCATATGGATGGTAACCCTAGTGTCTATGGAACAAATCCTCTAACGGTGGTGCATGTGATCCTTAGACTTGAGATCATCGGAGTGCCTTGTGCACTGATTGGTGTAGTTTGACACTAGCCTAATGCAGTTCTATTCAGAGCTGTCAATACGATGGTGATTGGCTACATCAAGGAGTGTATCAAGACTATGGTGGATTGACAAAGGATTCATCACTCCTGGGTACGGGAGAAGTTATCTCACAGTGCAATTCAATATATGGCAATGACACAAAAACTGTGGCCATAGTGGGATTGAGTTGTTGCTCTATTCGGATTATAATATAGGTCATTGGTCCAGAAACTGAATACATAATATCGAGAGTAACCAGAGGTCATCGAGATAACGAATGATGAAAGGATCGAATTGTACGGTAACCATATCATTGACAAGTAGCTACTTTGCTGAATCCAAATCTATCGGGTGGCCATGATGCCTTACTAGGGGCCAATCTTGGTCTGTGTATTAGTGAGACGATTAATTGGTGTTAATCGCGATACTATACACTGCCGGTATGATGAGGAGCCTATGGGTCACACACATAGAAGATAATTTAAGAGCCAGGAAAATAAAGGGCGTTGTCATCTTTTTGGGCGAAAGGGTATTTTGGTAATTTCATAGTGCAATTAAATTTGCTGAGGTCGTATCCTTTATTTAATTTGTTAGAAAAATTAAATAAGTGAAATTACGTTTAAATATGTGTTCGCACATATTTAATTAAATCATCATTATTGTTAAATGTTAATTAAATATTAATTGATTTTTTTAATTGAGATAATGATGAAATAAATTAAAATATCTAATTGGGAGTGTTTGGCAACAAAGGTTGTTTGGGTTGGAGCCCAAGCCCATTCCATATGGGAATAGGGCAACTTGGTTTGCCTATAAAAGGAATAGTGTTTGTGTGTTTTAATTATTATTTTATTTTGCCTTTTGATTAAAGAAAAAAAAAACACAACACAACCCATTCTCTCTCCCACGCCAACTTTGGTTTGTGCCAAAATCATTGTTTTTCTTCTTGATTTCTTAAGGCCACGGAGGATCTAGCAAATCCTTCCTTGGTTCCTTGCGATTGTCTTCGTGTGGACTTCTACGGTTCGATTCTACACTTGGATCGATAGCAAACACGTTTAGAGACAATATTGGTGGAGCCTCCAACGTGGGTATGAGTCTAAACTCATGTTTATTTTTCTGCAGATTCTTGTAATATATATAAACTGTAATTTTTGTGCCTGATTTTGGGTTCTAAGGAACGATCCATTTTTTTTAAAATTTTTTGTTTTCCACTGCGCAAATGGGTCGTTTCCTAACAGTTGCACTTAAAGTTAATGTTATCGAGTCTCCTAAATTGACTTGTAAATTTTGTGGGAGAAATCACTTGACAAGAGATTGCCAAGTAGGAAGTCCGTTTGCACAACCCAAACAAACCAATTATGTCAACAACTTCCAAAGAGGACAAGGGAATCCGTACTCCAATACTTATACTCCAGCATGGCAAAATCATCCTAACTGTTCTTAGAGTAATAAAAATGATCCTAAGCCACCTCCCAGTTTTCAAGTTCAAGAAAAGGAATCAAATTTGGAGGATGTGCTCACCAAGTTCATTGATGATTCAATCAAGATATTTGAAAAGAATGAAATGCTTTCTTCAAAACCAAGCTGCATCCATACAAAATCTTGAGACACAAATAGGGCAAATCCATAGAATTTTATTGAGGAGAGTCCAAGGATATTTGCCAAGTGATACGGAGAAGAACCCAAAGGAGCAAGGCAATGCCATTACTTTGAGGAGTGGTAAGTAGTTGGAGGAGCCAAGAAGGGGTGAAGAAAATGAAGAAAAATGAGAATAATCATATATGGGCAAAAGCAAGTATGCTATAGCACAGGAAGAGTCATGCCATGGCACAACAAAAGAAAACAACGTCTGCCATGGCACAATGCTAGAAAAAGAGAAAAAGCGCTCAAGATAACGAGAAAGTGGAAGTCACTCTCCCATACCCTCATAAAATGATGAAGCAGCATGTAGACAAGCAATTTGGTAAGTTCATGGACATGTTCAAAAGCTTACATATTAATATTCCTTTTGTAGACATGTTGGAGTAAATGCCAAAGTATGCCAAGTTCTTAAAAGAGATTCTCACATACAAAGGGAGGTTTGAAGAACACAAGACGATCATGCTTGTTGAGGAGTGTAGTGCGTTACTTCTAAAGAAACTACCACCAAAACTTAGAGATCTAGGGAGTTTTACTATTCCTTGCACTATTGGTAGTTGTCATTTTGATAAAGTTTTTTGTGATCTAGGAGCTAGTGTTAATTTGATGCATTTTTCTATCTATAGGAAACTTGGCTTAGGAGAGGTGAAGCCAACCATAGTTCATCTCCAATTCACAGATAGGTCTATAAGATATCCTTGGGAAGTGGTAGAAGATGTCCTAATAAAGGTAGACAAATTTGTTTTTCTAGTAGATTTTATAGCTCTTGATATGGAAGAAGACCATAACATACCTTTAATATCTAGGAAGGCCTTTTCTCGCTACGAGTAGGACATTAATTGATGTACATCAAGGGAAACTAATCTTAAGGGTGGAAGACGAACAAGTGGAGTTTAATGTGTTTGATGCTATGAAATATTCATCCAAATTTTACTTCCTTTGAGATTAGCATCCTTGATGACATAGTTGTTAGAGTAGATGCCCTAGAGCCAATCAATTATTGTAGAATGGACTCTTTGTAATAATTTTCATTGATCAATAAAAGGCATTTTATTTAATATTGATAATCCATAAATTATACAGTTTTTATTAGATCTTTTTGTCGGATTTCAGGTACTTTCTGGTGCATTTTGACCTAAATTGGTTCTTAATTCGTTACTTTTCGTATTTCAGGTTAAAATGGACATTTTGAGCAAATAAGCACAAAATTGGATATTTTTNCGCGTAGGATATGATTTATGCAATTTTCTTTGGAACGATTGAGTCTTTGAAGCCAACCTATATTATTTTATCCTTAATTAACCCTTTGAGCTTGTATATACACTTGAAAAGCCTTTTTTTTTTTTTTTTTTTTTTTTTAACCTGTTGTATCGTACCTTGATGATGAAGCCTAATACACTTTCCGACCCATCTTATTGTGAGAGACTTGATTTGGTGCATGTGACCTTAGAAGAAAAACTCACAAAAAGAAGTGTGGTAGAAGAAAATAATTGTATATTTTGGACCACAACCTGAGTATGTGAAATGAGAGAGGTTGGGGGTTGCGGAAAAAAAATGATAGTAGAAGCAAGGTGAGGTAGACGTTTGTTTTTATAAGTTACTATCTCCCTATGAAAAGAAAATAAAAAAGCAAAAGTGAAAAAGGAAGAAGTAGCTAGTGAGAAGAACATGGAATAAGGTTTGCATTATAGGAGGGTTTGTGCAAATGTTGGAAGGAAGAGTTCAATGAATGTGGAAGAGTAGTGGGTGAATGAAAAGAAGCAAAGAGGAGATTGTTCATGGTCATAGATTAAAAAATATTATGTCTCTTAAACTTGCAAAATTCCTTTCCGTTCTTTCATAACCCATTACCTTAGACTAAAAGTTACAACCGTAATAAAGACGATCCAAGGTAGTGTTTCGATTCTACATTAGTGGAGAGTGGTTTGAAAATTGAGCCTATGGAGTTTGCTTATACAATTTTTATTGTTTATTTTAATGAGAAAACTTGAGAGATCAAATCTCTTTGCCTATGAATGTTGCATAAAATCATCCAAGTTTTTGGATAAATGGTTTGTGGTTGATTATATGAGAGGATCTATGACAAAAGTAAAATTGATATTTGCTTATTCTTTATATTTACGTGATGTTAATTATTTGATTTGTGCATGTAGACACAAATTTTGAGACAAATATATGTATCGATCATAAAAAAATTTTTGAGTCTTTAGTTTTTTCTTTTAATCTAGGTTTGGTTTGGATATTTGTGGGTATCACCTTGGAAACCCTCACGAGACTACAACTTGTCCAACTAGGGCTGCCTAGGGGTTTAAATGCTTGTTGCATATGCTAAATGCAACCGTGACAATCTATGGAAGTGATTTCGAGTAGAATAGATTTAGTTTTTATTTTGTTTTAAATTTTCAAGCTAGAAGACGTTTTTATCGCTTAGCTTGATAGGGACTAGCAAGAAGCTAGTTGGGGGTTGTGATAAGAGCTTGAAAATATGCATGTACTTAGTGGTTTATGGGGATTATTTGTTTTGAATTGGGTTTAATTTGAGTAATTGAACTTAATTATTTCATAAATGTCTTTTATGGGATCATGGGCATGTTTTGAGTGTTTTTAGGTTATAAGTTCTTAAAGATGATAGTCAAATGAAGGATTATGTCGATGATGGAATTTTTGATGAAAAGAAACAAACGGTTCGTGATTCAGAGCTGAAGCGAAGAAGTTATAGCGATTCGAAGTTGAAGTGAAAATCTTGGAAAGTGCTCCAGTTTTAAACATGTGTTAGTGATTCAACAAAAACCTGAGTTGTACATATTGGATCGAGATGATTTTTGGACTGTTAGAAAGCTTATTTAAAGGGCTAAAATTAATATCTTTACCACTTGGTCAGATTCTAACGTTTTTGTGCTAAAAAATCACCGTCTTTTCAAGATTGCAAGTTTTGGGGCAGATTCAACTATGCCTAGGCACAGTGCCACGACACAACCACGATTCTGGAATTTTCTACATTAAATTTATGACGTGTATTTCCTGTTTTAAGAGTTCTAAAGTGATTAGGATAGTGGGAATCATAACCCTAAAACTCGGGGATTTCTGGAGAGATCAAAAGGAAAACTATGAGAAGAAAAGGGAAAAGCATCAGAATTTATGGAGCTTTTGGAGCAAAATCATAGAGAAGTTTTTCTTTGTTCTTCCTTAAACTCATGATTTTTATTTTAATAAAGATGATTGTTTCTTTCATAATTGCTATGAACTAATTTATTTTCTAGGGCTAAGATGTAGCCTAATCTCCTGATTATATGTTGATTTATTTATGTTGATTTTTATTAAGATTTCTTCCTAAGTTTTATTATTATGCCTAGTGCTTTGGATTCTTAAGGGCCCAAGAATTGAATAAACTAATGAACTAGGTTGAGATCAAGAGATGATACTTAGTTAGTCTAAAGTAGTAAAACAATAGGTTGAGCGAACGCTAGAGACAGTGGCGAAACCAAAATTTTTGCCTAGTAGGGGCCTCCACAGCTCCGCCATTATTTGCCAAACAACTAGTGAAAACTTTTAAAAACCACCAAACCTTAAGCAAAACCTTAAGCAAAAGTGTTGAAAATAACATCCAATTCACAAGGGAACACAAGAAAATTTTTACGTGGAAAAACCTTTTCAATGTGAAGAGAGCAAAAAACCATGGGAACTTAAATCCATTTTAACCAAAAGAGTTTACAGCAACCACAATCCACCAAAAATATTCCACACAAATTTAGAGGTAAATCACAACTCTAACACAAGTAAAATACATAAAAGTTTACAAAGAGATGGATTAAAATAATCAGAGAAGTAGTCAAACTTCATGCTGTATAACTCTACATCCAGACATTAATATCAAAACTCAACCATCTAGATTAAAGATCCACACATCCTCTGTGTATTGACCAAAAAAATAAAGTTACAATAGTATAGCTGAAGATATGAAGATTTGAATATTGATTATTTAAAGATGAAAGCAAGTTAGAATGGTATACCTGAAGATCTTCAATTTAACATGATTTTCCGCTTTGATATATTTTGAAAGTGTTCAATGATATCTTCATTTTCAATTGTAGTAAAAACTTCATTTTCAATGTAAACCACCAAGCAATTGTTCATCCACTTGTCTCCCATCTGATTACGCAAACTATTTTTCACAAGATTCATTATAGAGAACACCCTTTCAACTGTTGCAGTAGTCACAGGCAAAACCAATGCTAATTTAGTAAGCAAGAAAACTTTGTTGTAAGCAACATCCTTCTTAAACTCAACCATTTTTTTCGCAAGGTCAACAATCCCTTTGACATGAGTGAAATTGGCAATGGTACTAACATCCTCATAATAGTTTTCAAGTTGATCATCGAGCAACCAAATATCATGTTGAGGAAAATCGGCAAGATAAAACTTTGCAAATTCAAGTAATCTATCTTTGTTAAATGCAACAAAAGAGTTACTTGGATCAAGAAATGCCATACATTGAAACAACCTCATATTTACTTCATCAAAACGATTGTTGAGTTCTTTCTTAATGTTATCCAAAACTGTATACATCAATTCCAGCTTAAAATGATGTTTATTCGTAATTGGCACAATCCCCCGTTTTGTCCCCCCAAGTTATCTTCCATATTCTCTAGGATTGGTATGTTATTATCTTTGCATAGATCAGAAGCTTCTTTTAACAATATGTCAAAGCAAGTGTCTTCATTTCTCATTTTATACAATCAACACTTCAAAATTTGTACAAATTGTATGGCCTTAAGAAGATGTTGATCTTTTCTTTGTAATGCTTGTGACAGTTCATTTGTGATTCCCAATACTCTTTTCATTAAGAATAACAAAAAGATGAATTCAAAATTCTTCATGATTCATAATAAACTCCTTGCTTGACTTTTGCTTTGCTAATCATCTCCTTCAATCTCAATCACCCTAAGCACATCAACAACAGAAGAAAATAAATTTATGACACTATAATTGTCCCTATGTGTGAACCCCAACGTGTATCTCCTGATCGTTTAATAGTGCATTCTTGATCCAAACCTCGTCTCATGTGAAGATCACCATTAGAAATCAAAGATATCACATTTTCATATTGTTTATCACATAGAAGATCTCTACGCTTGCCAGATGCCGCTGCAATGTTTGATAAAATAGAAAGAGATTAAAAAAAATTTACCCTATACCGAATAATTACTTACAACTTTGACTAGCACCAGTTGGAGTTGATGAGAGAAACAATGAATGTAGAAAGATGATTTACTTTCTCTCAATATCAAAGTCTTCAAACCATTGAACTCACCCCTCATATTGCTTGCTCCATCATAACCTTGCCCCCGTAAACCTGTCAAACTCAATCCATGCTTTACAGAAAAGGCATCTATTGCAATTTTCAAAGACTTTGCAGAAGTATTCTTAACATGCACAACCCCAATAAAAAGTTCAATGACACAACCTATTTTGTCCACATAGCCAAAAACAATAGCTATTTGTTCTTTCACTGCTACATCACAAGATTCATCAACTAGTAAAGAGAACGGTTTTTTTATCTCTCACAATTTCTGCATTAATTTTCTTGGTCGTCAAATGAGCACAAACACTAGTTAATTCCCTCTGGATGTTAGGGGCCATCATTTGATAGTTTTTTGGAGCATTTTCCAACACAACTTTTTTTATGTCATCATTATGATTGGATAAAAACTTCAACAGTTCCATAAAGTTACCTTGATTTTCATATTGAACCAACTCATCATGACCACTAAATGCCAATCCTTCATGTAAAAGAAATCAAATGTAATCAATTGATGCATTCAAGCAAATGCGATAGTCCAATTTGGCTATTTTCGACATGCAAACAAGATTTACATTGATGTGTTGCCTTTGGTTTATCAAATCAACACACTTGGCATGACATTGGTTATGAGCACTGGAATGATCTCCAATATGTTTTTTTTCACTTTTGCTTTATCTTTCCAATTATTAAATCTCTTACTCACAAAAACTTCACAACTTGCTTGGTCACCATAATTGGTTTTGAAAAGATAACAATTCAAACAAAATATGCAATCTTTTGCCACACTATATTCCATCCAACTTGGACCTTCCTTGTACCATTCTGGTGTAAACCTATAGTTTTTATGTAATGCCCCACTTGAGGTACGTAGTAAATTATGTTGTATGCTTGAATGATTGTTGATGTGTTCTCTTTTGAGCTTGCATGTTGTCATTTTGGTTGGTTGGCCATTGGTTGACTGTTTGCCTTGATTTTGGTTGAGGTTTGGCAAATTTTGGAATTTCGGTCTTCGCCGAGGTGAAGAATAGTCTTCGCCGAGGTGAAGAATAGTCTTTGCCGCAGAGACGTTGGCTTTGTAATTTGCGGTGTCGGTTCTGTAATTCTTCGCTGGGGTGACGGAAAGTTCTTCGCCGCGGCGACGAGCCGGCAGAAAAGTTTAATGAAGTTTCTAGATATTTTTCCATAGGAGCAAAATGACCATTCTACCCCTAATTAGCAAGAAAAGTGGGGAGTGAATTGTAAGGAAGTGGGGGTGTGATTGTAATGAATCAAAGGACAAGGATGGAATTTTCAAGAAAGAGCAAGGGCAATATGGGAATGAATGAAGGTATTTTGAGCTAAAAAGGGGTTAAGCTTAGTAAACCCTTCATTCTTCATCTTCCACCGCCTCTTCCATTCTCCATTTCCTCTCAACTTTCCTTTCAACCTTTCAAGAATTTTAAAGGGCTTTTTGAGTAGTTTGGGGTAGAAAATTAATCTAAGGCATCCTAAGGTAAGGATTCTTACTTGAGATGTGAAGTTTTGCATATATTTGTATATTGAAGTCTGATGGTGTTATTGTATAAAGGGTAGAGAAGAGACAAGCAATCTAAAGAAAAGGAAAGTGCTACTGAGATCTCTCCATTACAAGGTAAGTAAATCCCAATCCAAGTTGATATTTGAGAACTCTTTTGAGTAGAGATTTAGTAGAAATTGTTATGCATGTTAGATGATATGTTATTGAGAATTGAGATGGAGATGAATAATTGCTTTGTGGTTGTTAAATACACTTCAATTATAAGAAGTGTGATGTGTGATGAGAATGTAGTTTGAGATGAAATTGGAGGAGATTGAGAAATCTCTTTGGAAGTGTTATGTTATGATAGGAATTATAACTTGGTGAGGGAGTTTTCTCCCATTTGGATGGTTCAAGAGAGGAATAGATCTATAGATAAAGTAGAGTTTATGTATGCGTACTAGTTGTTTGATGAAATGCCTAAGAGAATCATGAGTAGTAAACCTTAATTCTTGCAACATTGCATGTTGGCATTTCATGAGTGCATTAGAGGAGAAGAACCATCAATATGCATTAATTCTGCATTGAAAAGTGGCTTGAGAAAGAGTAGAGGACTTTGTGTATGAACTACTCTAAGAGTAAAGAGAATGAGAAAAACACTAAAAACGGGTTGGTGCTTTGTGATCTCCACCCGATAGTTACGAAAAACGGGTTGGTGCTTTGTGATCTCCACCCTGTAGTTCCGAAAAGTGGGTTGGTGCTTTGTGATCTCCACCTGACAGTCACGAAGAGTGGGATGGTGCTTTGTGAACTCCGCCAGGCCGTGCCTCCGGTAAGATGAGGCCATGACATCAAGTGAGAAGGAATGAGTAAACATGAGAAAGAACAAACAGAGAACGAGTAAAGTCACGAAGAGTGGGTTGGTGCTGTGTGAACTCCACCCGGCCGTGCCTCCGATAATATGAGGCCGTGACATATAGCAGAAGTTAAGTAAAGAGATCTGTGTGAAAGAGAAAATAAATGAGATGAGAAAAGTGTAAGGAAAGAATTAAGAGAAAGAGTTATGGGGACAGTTGAGTAGAGGATTTACTTACTGAGCATTATTTTGTGCTCACCCCGTTGTTTTTCTTTGTAGTTGTCGGATCTAGGTGAGAACACAATCGGATGGGCACCGGCAAGCGAGGAGCAATAGCTACACTGTCCACTGTTTTAATGGCATTTTGTAAATGATATTCTAGTTTGTATAAAGAATGTTTATATGTAATAAAAGAAAATTTTCGAGCCCAACTACTTTTAGCACAATACATGTATTTTACTGATGTATTTCTATGAGGATCCTAGAATTAAGCAGTCATTACATTTTTGGTATCAGAGCAAATATTTTGGGATTTGACAGTGTACTATTCTCATCGCTACGACGTCCGATAACCGACTGTGTGAGTTAATTCTTTCCTTACTATAAATGTTTCTCAAATTGATTAAATGTGATTGTTTTGTAGATGAGGCGTAGTAACCGAAAGCGTGGTAAGGGTGTGACAAATGAGGGAGAATCCTCTAACCCACTAGAAACTACGCCCCGTCCCCTGGATGAAGCTAGAGTTCGGGGGATTATACAACAAGTTATGGCAGAAACCCAAGGGAGAGTTGTAACCCCTGTGCAAGTACCACCAACTACGAATGTAAGAAGAGAATAACCGATACCTCCCCCAGTATAGAATAGAGTTGAACCGATTTATGGTCTTCCCAGTCAACATCAACCCTCAGAGTTTAAGGGTACTACAAACCCAAGAATAGCAGAAGAATGGTTTAGGTCCGTAAAGCGAACAACAGGTTTATTCCCTATGACGGATAGGGAGAAGATCCGGTATGCAAGTTTCTTGTTTCAAGGTGATGCACGAATTTGGTGGGAACTAATGGAAGAAACCCATGATATGGCAACGATGACTTGGGAAGAGTTCAGGCAAGAGTTTGAGGCCGAGTATAGAACAGACGACCGAGTTCATAAGAAGGTCCAAGAATTTATTAGCTTGCAGCAGGGGTCTAGTACCATGAAGGAGTACTCAGTGAGATTTAACTCCCATGCAAGGTTTGCACCCGAAATAGTTAGTACTCTAGCATTGAGAAGAGATAAGTTTGTACACAGGTTGAAGTAGGAGATAGCCCGGGATATAATGACAAGTTTCGATCCCCCTCAAACTTATAGTGAGGCCTTGAGGAGAACAATGAGGGCGGAAATCTTCGAGAATAAAATTCCCCTAGTAGGTTCCTTGATAGGAGTACCAAGTGAGCCACCCTCCGTCCCACAGAGAGAGAAATTAGAGAGTGTGAAACGCAAAGAAATGAAGAATCAGAAGAAGAAGTTTCAGTTTAGACAAAACAAAAGAGAGTGGAAGAATAAACAGCCCCGGACGGAAGGGGTTCCTCTTTGCCCTAAATGTGAGAAGAACCACCTAAGAGAGTGTTTGAGGGACCAGAGGGTGTGTTTAAGGTGCCGACAGCCATGGCACTTGATGAGAGATTGTAAAGCTCCTCTTCCTCCACCCGAACAGAGTTCTAGAGGCACTACGAATGCCAGAGTGTTTATCGTGGCACAGGGTGAAGCAGAGGCCAGTCCATCAACTGTTACTGCTCAGTTATTATTCCATTATGTTCCTTTGTATGCCTTAATTGATTCAGGAGCCACTCTTTCTTTTATATCATATGGGATGATTGAGAGGTTAGGTTTGAAACCTACTAGAGTGACTCAACCCATTAAGATAGAGTTACCCGATGGGGTTAGTGTTCTGACACAAGAGATGTTGACAGGAGAGTCTATGGTGATCCAGGGTAGAGATTTAACAGTTGATCTAATAGTTTTTGATATGCCTGATTTTGATGTGATATCGGGCATGGATTTCCTAGGCAGATATGGGGTAGAAATTGAATGTTGGAAGAAGAAAGCGAGATTTAATCTCGATAATGGAGATAAGTTTAGTTTTGGAGAGGTTCATCAATTGAGCATGTTAATGGAGATAAGTTTAGTTTTGGAGAGGGTCATCAATTGAGCATGTTAATTAGTAGTGTGAAGGCTAGAAAGATGTTGAGAAATGGGTGTTCGGGATATATTGCCCATGTAGTTCAGAGTGGTGATGTTCCACAGCCAGAGATTCAAAGGGTACCAGTAGTTCGAGATTTCCTAGATGTGTTTTCGGAAGAGTTACCGAGTTTGCCTCCAGAAAGGGAGGTTGAGTTTAGTATTGAACTAGCATCAGGGACAGCACCAATATCCAAAGCTCCTTATCGAATGGCCCCAGCAGAGCTTCAAGAATTAAAGAAGCAACTTCAAGAGCTTTTGGACAAAGGCTTTATTCGACCGAGTCATTCTCCTCGGGGAGCTTCAATTTTGTTTGTGAATAAGAAAGATGGGTCACTACGGATGTGTATCGATTATAGAGAGTTGAATAAAGTGACAGTGAAGAATAAGTACCCGCTACCTCGCATTGATGATTTGTTCGATCAGTTGAAAGGTGCCGCAATATTCTCTAAAATTGATTTGAGGTCAAGGTACCATCAGGTAAGAATGGCTAAGCAAGATGTGGCTAAGACTGCCTTTTGTACAAGGTATGAGCATTATGAGTTTGTAGTGATGCCGTTTGGTTTAACTAATGTCCCAGCAGTTTTTATGGACTTGATGAATCGGGTATTCCATGATTACTTGGATCGGTTTATAGTGGTTTTCATTGATGATATCCTGGTTTATTCTAAGTCAAGGGAAGAGCATGAGGAACATTTGAGGATAGTGTTACAACGATTGAGAGAAAGGAAGTTGTACGCTAAATTTTCTAAGTGTGAGTTTTGGCTTGATCAGGTGATATTTCTGGGCCATATTGTGTCTAAGGAAGGGATTTCAGTGGATCCGAGTAAACTGCAGGCCATCCTTGAATGGCAGAGGCCAAGGATGGTGAAAGAAGTCAGGCGTTTCTTAGGCTTAGCAGGTTACTATC